AAACAGGAACTCTTTGTGTTCCTGTTACCAGTGATATCTTTCCTATCTTATTCCAGGAAACTGAGTTCAGCACCTGAGGTGAGACTGCCCCAGGCAAATCCCGCTGCTGCCTGGGGAGTGTGTCCCTGCCTGTCCCTGCAGCCCCAGGGCACATCCAGCACTTGGCTGCTCCACAGAAGGGGAGGATGGGCAGGCTTTGAGTGGATCTCAGGCTGCCTAGGTCAGATGGAGAATTGTTCTCCAATGGAAAGGGCCCAAAGCTGCAGCTGGGTGGGGACCTACAAAAGCTGGGGGAGCAGGCCACACATGTTAGCACGGCTTCCACAGAAGTCCTGTCTGTCAATGGAGAGAGACCTTTTCTTTCTCCTTCAGCCCCTTTTAGAGGGCTTGTCTAGGAGTCTCTAATCCAGAACAGACACACAATCTTCTGTAGATTATACTAGACAAGGTTTACAAAAAGCTTCCCCCTTCCCTATGACTTTAGCTATACACATCACAGCAATAGCCAGAAAAATATAAATCAATCTGGTAGCTGGCTTCACTCCTCTATGGTTAAGTTTCATTCCTGTGCGTCCTCTCAGGAAAAAGGGAACAGAATGAAACACATCTGTTGAAAATGAAATGTTTCCTCCCCAAAGGAACTAAATATAGTCAGGAAAACCAGGACTTTTAAAAGTAAATATATGTCTGCTGCTCACAGTACACCACAATGCCCACAGACAGTTCCTGTGTGAGCACCAAGGCTCACTCTTGTGGGTACCCTAAGGTTCATCATGAACACACCCCAGGCTTGCTTCAGCACAACTAAAGACACACTATTTCTGACATACATGCAGAAAAAAAGGCAGCAAATTCTAAGCATCAATATGTAACATGCTTCTGATTTTCTGCTCACTAAGAGCATCATCCAGGTAAAATTCACAAGGGGTTACTTAATTCTTACTTACCTGGACATGTCTTCTGATTGTGCTCTGCTGCCAGCTATCTTTGTGTGGGGTCCTACTTCAGTCCAGCCCACTAGCAGGTGAATAATGGAAGACCATCAGCATCAGCCCTCCAAGAGTTGGATGAGCTTCCCTTTATTAATTCTGCAAAGCATTTTGTGCTTTGGTACTTCCCAGACAAAACACTGCTTACCCAGGAGTGCAAGGATTTTACTGGGGTAGGTGCTGTATTCATGAACTTGCCAAAGCCACTTCCATTAGTTTTGAAGACAGTCCTCAGAGATTCCTAAATCAGTGAGTGTTCAGAAAACTTGTGTCAGGCTGACTTCTTCATCCCTGGTGGTGTTTATGTGCAAATATTTAACAACACAGAATTTGCGTCCATTTTTTCCTGTAAAGGGCATGGCTTTCCCACTGCTGATAATTCCTACTCAAGAGAGTAGGACAATTATTCTACACAGGAGCTAAAGGCATTGAAGAAACTGAACACTTTAGTAAAGTATTTCCAAGAGAGATCAATGGGTACTCCTTGCCTAAAGCACTTCAGGGGCATTTTTTAGAAGTTGGAACACCATCTGCTCCTTAGTAGAGCTCTCCATAAGTCCTCCCCATTTACTGATGTAACTGATAGGAGCAGTCTGCAGATGGAGCCTCCCAGCCCAGATGGAAAGGGAATTTGGCTGGATATATAAACTAATTTTTTTCTTTCTGAGAAGAGGCCTTGGTATAAGCAGAAGGATGTGATCTGGACATCTAATAGGGATGAAAAGGTTGGGATGATGCCTGTTATGTCAGTTTGGAAAGAAAAAGCAACACTATTTTATTCAGTCAATTATCTATGAATAGTAATTAGCCAGTCAAAAAGATAATTTAAATGAAATTTTCTGTTCCTATTTAGAACTTTCTACTCTGAAAACAAAACTCAGAAGGTAATGCAACATAAAATGTAAAGTATATTTACATTTAAATGTTTATTAAAACCAAGCCATTTATGCTTTTTTTATGCCTTCCCCTCTTTTTAAAAAAAGTGTATTTAAATCCCCCCTACATTTTAGAAGAAACTTTTGATGACTACTCAGCTCACTGATGGCAAAAAAAAAAAGAGGCCAAACTATTTTTGAGTATTCCTCTCTTAGCAGCAACATGAAAATGCGTTTTGAAATCCTCAGGTAAACTCCCTGCTTGTTTTATACTCATGAGTAGTTGATTAAAAGAGGACTGCTTGAATGAATAAGCAATTAGGATATGATTACATTCAGGTAAACTGTAGTAGTTTTATCTTAAAGAATTAATAAGTGATTCTCAGCTGATTTCTTAACTGCTCTCAGAAGGTGAACCACCAAGATTCCTTACACATCCAAGTACTGATTATTCTTTCTTTAGTACCACAGCTGGTTTTTAACAGATTTCAACCAAGTAATTTCTTTGTAGAATCATCTTTAACACAGTGGTCACAGTAACTTACTCATACAATAAAAATCATGTAAATATGCATTTAACTTATGCTAAAGACAGGCTTATTTAAATAAAGGAACTGATGTTCATTTTTTCTAGTATGAATGAAGCCTGCTGCAATGTTTCTAAAGTGGATTTGCTCTAAGTGCAAATCCAGGCAGAGAGTAACACCTTTACTTTGCTCTGTGACACCCAAACTCTAATTGTGTTCTCAATTTTGTGTACATTTAGATGTTCTTAGAGCTGTATTTTTCTTAGCTATCCTTTGTGATAATGTTTCATGCACCATGCAAGCATTCTTCAAAGAGCTTCAGAATGAAGCACATATTTTACAACACGTTTATGGTGAATTGGCAAGTATTAATCATCTTAAAAACTTTCTCAAGCTTAGAAACCAGGTGAACAAACTCAGGCAGAAGAATTCTTATGCTCACTGGGGAAAAACACTCAGGGGGACAAACACTCTGCCTCATGAGGACACTTCCATGGAAGTCTGTCCAGTCCAAACAAATTCCACGTGCAGCACTTTCATAGCAGTTTTCTGTTAACCCAGAAACCTTCAAAATACAAGTTTGATTGGCTGATGTTCTTCCCTCAAGGGAATGACTGGATTTCCCAGGCTGCCCTGTAAAATATGTCTGGAACATTCTCCCTAATTCTGTGTGTCCTGAATTTTTCAAATCCTGCCTTACAATTTTTATTACCTTTCCATATCCAGACACCTATGTGAACTCAGCAGATGCTTGGTGGTAAATCTGGTTTTTCTACTACAGCTCTTCTTCCAGCCATGACCCTTTTTCCCCTTTTGGTTTCATCCCATGTTGTATCAGCATACAACTGATTTAAACTCCAGGGACAAGAAACAGCCACATCTAATTACTTGTATGTCACAGCATTGCCTGTAAGCTTCAGACACTTAGGGCACCTTTTCTTCAAAGTGTTATACAAGTAAGTTGAAAATGGGAATACTCGTCTCCACATCTCAAGAAAGTCAGTCAAGAAAGGGAGTAGGAAAATACTATTGTTCTTCTTTTCTAAACAGGAAGGTGAGACATAAAGTCATGCCAGAAACCTGGGACAAAGCCTGTGTTTGAATATAGATGTTTATCCAAGATCATAAGCATGGCCCCAGCCTTTGTCTGACAACCAGAATGAATACTTACAGTACTAAAGAAAGCAGTGAAAGCTGAGCTATATAAAAAAATAAAATCAGAGAGCTGCATTTATGGTAGAAAATAGAAAGAGAAACACAGATGGTACCCTGGAATCGCCTATCAACAAGAACAAGAAACCAATGATCAGGAGGAGGAATACTGATTTCCTCCCCATCCTATGAGTTGCAACAGTTGATGAGAGAATATATATGCAATGAACATATAAAATATAGATTTATATATACAAATATACAATAGGAAATAGTCAGTATACAAATACTTACATGTAAAAATAGTTTTTTACTTTCCCCTTTTCTTGTTTTACAAAAGCATACAAAGTTTCCTGTTGGTTAATGTTTAAGTAGTGTGAGTAAACCCTGTGTGACATGTTCCACACATAATTCCTTCAAGTGTTCACAGTATTGGCTATTACAGTGTTGAATGTGACATTCTTGATGTTAAAATATTCATAGGACACATTCTAAAATTAAAGCATTAGTTTAAATACAGTTTAAATAAATCTCACATGTGTATTTGAATTATGGTCATAATGCAAATGAGTCTGCTGCAGTTGAAAACTTTCCATGACAGTAAGCTTGGAAATACATACTTAAACTAGAGATGAGTATATTTTAAGATTCTTGAACTGCCTTTTAATGTGCAGATAATACTGTGAGATGGGGAGTTCTTTCAACTTCATCTGAAGAAATGCAAGCTGATAGAACTCAATATTACAAATTATCCTCAGTAGGAAAGCGGATGCACAGAACAATTTGCCATCAGAGCCAGACACGTTGTCACTTTCTTCAAATACCCAACAGACAAGAATAAATGACAGGTACCATTGTTTTTGTGTTAAGAATAAATGATCTGGAGCATTCTGCATCAGGAAAGTGCTTTAAATTAAATTAAATTAGTCCTCACAACTCTCTTGTGAGGTAGATAGACACTATCCTTGTTTTTAAAGATGGAGAAACTGGAGATCTAAAATAAATTATGATGGCTGCATGGGAAATACTGTCAAAATACTGTTATTTGGATGTTGGAGCAAGTCAAATGCACAACTGGAGTAAATGGAGATTTTAATGAGACAACTTTGCACTCACCAGCTTAGGTACTGACAGCAGGCTTGGTAAAACAGCCAAAGGTTCATCATGGGCTGCAAAACACAATCTTTGCCAAGTGCCATTCTGCTGGAGCTGAAGTGTGGGACAACAGCTTCAAAAAGCACAAACTACATCGTCCCAGATGGTGCAGACTGACCAAGGTGGAAGGAAGCTGCATTTCAGAGGTTATGAATTAATCAGGAGCCTTGAGTAGGTAATATCTTTTCATTCAACAGTTGGGTACAGTTCAAGAACCATGCTTTGTTCATCTCTAATTTTACCATATATGCAAGTGCTCACAATAGACTGTGTATCAATATATTCAGGTCTTGTTTTTAAATTTTACTCTCTCCTGGACCTTGGAGGTCTGTATTTTTCCTCACATTTCTCTTGTTGAAAATTTCTACTGATACCACAAATGGAACTAGTGCTTTAGTACAGCAAACGAGCTACAAATAATAATTTTAAATATCTGAGATGATGGACAATTTTCAAAGGACCACCATGCTCTCTGTGTGCACCTGTATATACAGGAAATCTCATCTGTCTTTAACTGCTCCTGCCTTGAAGTAAAATCCAGTTAAAGTATAAAGTGCATAGTGTGGATTAAAACCCTAAGAAATAACAAACAATGTGTCTGCCTTCCACAGATGATTAATTTTGCTTAACAGCTGAACCACCACCCTCTTTGTCTTCTGGTTTTTAGTTTAGTGTTACCTAGGCTGAGAAAGGCCAGCCAGATGTAAGCAAAACTATTGTAAACTGAGACATTTCTGTAATATGGTGTTAAGGGAGAGTTAAGTAAACCAGTATCAAGACACTGTCCAGTTGGGATGTGTAAATATTATTGTGTGCTTCTTGGCCCACTTAGCAAATACTTTCTTTTCTGTGATAAACCTGTGGCCTCCATATGGAGCATTTTCATGGAGAAAGTATTCCTCACACTCGTCTCTTCCTGGCTCGTAATAGTGGTAGGGAACTTTGCGAAAGCCTTCTGACCTAGGGAGAAGAAAGATACACTTCAGTACTGTCTTCCAGAAAAACATAAATCTATAATACACCTGAATACAAGATACAAGCATCCTGGCTTGGATCAGCCATAGTGTGGCCAGCAGGAGCAGGGAGGCTGAGACTGTGCCCTGTTCTCAGCATTGCTGAGGCCACACCTCAAATCCCGTGTTCAGTTTTGTGTCTCTTACTACAAAACAGACACTGAGGTGCTGGAGTGAGTGCAGAGAAGGACAATGGAGTCAGTGAAGGGTCTGGAGCACAACTCCCACAAGGAATGACTAAGGGAGCTGGGAGTCTTCATCCTGGAGAAAAGGAAGCTCTGGAGGGACCTTACTCTTTACAGCTGCTTGAAGGGGGGTTGTAATGAGGAGAGGGTTGGTCTCTTCTCCCAAGGAACAAGTGACATGACATGAGGATATTGCTTCAAACTGCACCACTGGAGGTTCAAATTGGATATTTGGAAAAATTTCTTCACCAAAAGGGATGTCAAGCACTGGAACAGGCTGCCCAGGGAAGTGATTGACTCACCAGCCCTGGATGTATTTAAAAGATGTGCAAATGTGGCACTTGGGACAGTTTAGTGCAGACTTGGCAGTGATGGGTTAACAACTGAACTCCATGATCTAAAAGGTCTTTCCCAACCTAAACAATTCTATGAATTATCTGAATTCCTGTCCATGTGTCAGCACTTGAGCTTCATTGCTAAACTGTAAGGGCTTTCATTACCTCACAATTTCTAGGAGTTTTCCTAAGGCAGAAGAAGCTCAGTGTATCTCTCAGCATACACTGATCTTACCAGTCAGTGAGAAGCTGATGGACTGGCTCCTATGGGCACTGCACATTTTGTTTAACCTGTGATAACTCACCTCACAAGGTTCTCTCCCCAAGCAAAGTCTCCTCACTGGATATCCTAGCTGTTGAAACTGGTTCTTGAACTGACTGAACAGGGCAGTTATAAGAGTAGCATCCAATTTAAGTGGGTAATCGAGTCAGAATCACAGCTTAAAGGGGACATCCTTCTCTGCTGCCAACAGCGCTACCATGCTGTTGACTGGTTTTACATCAGGGCTATGCTATGCCAGCCTGGCTGAGCTCTCTGAGGACAACCTTAGTCCTGTCACCCCTCATCCCAGGGTGCCTACTGTGTATTTTTATAAACAAAGAACAACATATGTTCATTCTGTTCATTCCATCTGGATGACTCAATCAGTGAGATCTGCAAGTTCTAAAAAGTCAGCCTCTAATGTTAAGATATCCTAATTAAACAGCTGTGACTCAAATTCTGTTGTTTGTGACATTTTTTAGGTTCTGCCAGCAATGAGTCTCACACTGGAGTGACACAGAATGTGGAGTGAGAATCTGCACAAAGGCTTGACTTTAGGAGCTCGTGATGCACTGGACTGGTTACATGCAGGACTTGGGCCAGCTTAGGTACAGAAGAATAGAGGTGCATGTGCTAGTACCATACATTGTTCATGACATTTCCTGCTTTTCTGAATGAATGAGGAATAGTTTCCTTTTATATTTTTCTACCATGCACAGTAGATTAAAGTATTTAACTTGGACTTTTAAAAATTGTGTTTAGAGTTATACTTCTGGCCATAGGATTAATCCACTGTCACTGTAAGGTCACCAACAGTAGTTGGTTGGAATTTATGTCAGTTTATGGTGATAAAGCTCACAGGACTTGTTTTATTATCTAATTAGAACCCTCTACTACTCAAAACAAGCCATATATAACCGAGAAATTTCAAGTAGGTTGCTCAATGGTAGTGAAATGTAATTTCAGGTAACTATCCTGGGCTAATCCTTTTATTCCGCTTCCAGGTGTATTTGGTATTCAGAAAACAATGTGTTAGTTTTTTTCCTCTATAGATTTGTTTTAGCAATGAAAGCAAGTACATTTTATCAAAAGAATATGAGCATACCTTGTTTCCAGCTAATTCAGAAACTGCAAAAGATCTTTGATTAAAAATAGCTCCTTATGACATCTGATGTTAGATTTTGTAAATGTTTTTATTTTATCAACAGCACATGCCATATCAGGAGTGAATATGCTGACAATAGTGTCACATCAATGCAAAACACTGGGAAATGACTGCCTGATCCATTTTTTGGATTTATGATATTAAAATCAATTGTGAAATTTTGACAAGACATCAGAATTGTAGATGCATGAAAATAATTTTCTATGATCTTACTTGCAGTAGGTGTCATTTATCATCCCATAGACGTGAATTCCATAGCAGGCATCCATAGCCAAAATTAAGGTGAACCAACCCGTGCTGAGATATGAACCTGATTGGACTCTGTAAAAATACAACAGACAGAAAACAAATTGCAATGAGAAATTATCAACACTTTATCAAAGAAATAAAATCCATTGCCTGGGACAAAAGGCATTAAGCAGCTTGACAATCTGTCAAAACCATACAATTACTTTGAATTATTTATAGATATGCTCTCATTCTTCCCAGCTTGGGGCCTCCAGCTATTGTCCACAGGGAAAAAAAACATGTTAAATATCTGAAGTCAAATAATGCATCTCCAGCAAAACAGAAAATTATTTCTTTTCACATCTGAAAGATAGCAATTAGTGGAGTTTGTAAAATGAGATAAGTTTACCAAAACACAAAGTACTGTTGGAATTTGTGTTGTGCTCATATGAGTAGGGACGATTTTCTTCTGCAAGCAAAATCTTAATCTACAGTGGGCTACCCTCAACCTGAAAATTCACACAGTAATGAAACTTCCATGGATAATTTGGTACAAAACCATCTAACAAAAGGTTCTGAAAACCAAAATTCTGTGCATATCCCTTTACCTGATTTTGTGTTATCATTCTTTGAGCTACCATAGCAGAGAGAAAACCACAAGAGGATAGTGCCCAGATTGACAGTCTTTGCCCAAATGACTAGATATATTCAATCAGCCCAGAAGTATAACCTGCACCAGTGAGAAAAATTACATGTGTAAGGATTTGGCTCGCAGACTGGTTGTTGGAGCAAACACATGCATTGTTAACCACAAACCAAATCCTGTTGGCTCTGCTCGCACAAATGTTACCAATGGGGGACTGGGAGTCAATGGAGTTACTCAGATAACCTGGGCATGCAAGATTCACTGCTTTCACACCTCACAAGTAGTGAGAGCACACTCAGCCCTTACCACTTATGAACTGGCTGAAGTCCAGCTTTGTGCATGTATTGCTTTCAATTTTACTGAAATCAGTGAAAATAATTATCTTTAAATCATTTTAAAATGCCCCATTTCCAAAGAAAGATACCACAAAACTCACAAAACCATCTTAAAAGAGCACCTCAATAGAGCTGGGTGTGAGTGAGAGGAGGGGATATATGAGCTTTCTGCCACACCTGTAAGCTCTTAGCTTTTGGGGTGGCAGGGAGCAGTCTGTTCTCCATCCTAAGTCAAAGCAGCCTAAGACACAATTAAGTTTTGCTGTAAAAAAACTTCCAAGTAAGCCTATGTGCAAATCAGTTACTGCCACCAACAAAATCTTCTGAAAACATTTTCATCCTGGGCTAGGAACAAAATTTTCATGTGAAAAAAAAACCCCTGTAGCAATTTACCCAGCCTATAAGCCCCAACCTCCCTATGAGACAGAAGAACCAACCTCAAGTGTTTTTTCCTGGTTCAGAGCAAGAATGTATTCCGGTCTCCTGCCTCCCTCCTCCTGTATCAATATATCAATCAGTGGTTTTGGCACAGATTCTGTGTTACATCCTTGCTCAAGCTGAACCAAATAGTACTTAAGACAATGGGTGAAAGAGTAGTTGTACAACCTTTATGATGACAATTACCTGGCACATAAAGGTCTGAGATTCAAATTCCTTCTCTGTGTAATATCTTTTACTACGGATACTAGAGAACCTCCAAGAGCTTTATGCTCATGAAGAAAATCCAGTACACTCCAGTTTAAATAAACCTATGATTTTTTAGTGAAAAACTATTGCCTTAATTCCCAGAGTTGAGTCCAAGAACACTGAAAGTCGTTAAATATTCTCTTTCTTGCCCATGTCTGTCCTCCTTCATGGTTGAGCTGGTGTGAACTTCTATCCCTGACTTTCCTGATATATACTTTCCTTTGGGGAAACAGCTAAGTATCTGTTTAGCTGCTTTTGTAAAGCTCATACTGGAAATAATAAATAAAGGGTTAACTTAAAGTGAAGAACAACAAGTGGAAACTAAAGGCAGGGTGTCAAACACCCAGGTTTCATTAGGAGGAAACCAACTGTAATTGTGCTGCTTTTTTGGACACCTTTATAGCCATGGAAGTGTACAGCTGTTTATCTGCCCCATCAGGATCTTCATCTCTTCAACCAGAATGTTCTGCTGCTGTCTAGCAGGGAGAATTCCCAATCCAATTCATGTTATGTCAAAATAACATTCTGCCATGATAAAAGGCTGCATTGCTTCTAACTTGCTTTCTACTCTTGCACCAGGAAAACACTGGCCTTGAGCTTTCAAGGCATTTTAGAATCATAATAACCATTTATAAGAACACGATGAAGATCAGGACCCTTCCGATAATGGAGGTTTATTGGAGAGCACTATATTGACAGCAGCATCTGAAATTTGCTATACTCAGGAGGAAAAGGGAATTTTAAAAAAGAATTAATCAATATTTCATGTCTTGTTTTAACACCATTGGACCTTACTCCTCTCATCTATATACTGCACTGGCAGGATAAATAAAAACAGCAGAGTGAGTTCCCAGGTACCTTCCCTGGGAGATGAAGTACATGACAGAATACAGATTATATACTTTAAACCAAAGCACTTATATTCATCCATTTTTTCCTCTGAAGATACACAGGGGTATGAGGGAATATACTTAAGCAGTGGAGATTCCAGATGATTTGGTAACACCTTAGAATGCAATCTGATACCATAAACATGCTTTCAAAATTCTAATGAAAGCAATATTAGAAATGCGAAAACAATTTTAGCTGTCCCCAAAAGGCCATAAATCTCCGAATACCTTTTAAAATATCATCCCATAAAACTGTAGTGCAAAGCAATGTCTCAGCCCTTGCTATTATGCTAACACTGTGCACTCAATTTCCCTCTCTACAGGAGAGTTTTACATGTTTCTTGGTCAGGGGGTTTTGAGACTCATTAGAAAAAGAGTTCCTCTTGTTACTGTAATTGCACTCAAATTTCAACTTTTACACATAGGAAATAAAAAAATCCTCCATTTATGTGTAGCATAAGGCTATGTAACCACACAAGTCTGGGGGAAGGAGGACATTATTCCCAAAATAAACAGGAGTTTGTTAAACATCATCTGCAGAACTACAGCAGGCAGATCTACGGTGATATATGTATGTGCAACAATCCCAAAATTGTTTCCTATGGCTCAGAGAGACTTTTTTTCATAGTATAAAATTAATGGGGCACCAGATCTGGACAGGAAATTGTCTCAACAGCTCAGGAGAAAATAACGCACTGTTTTTCAAAATACACTTTTAAAAAGATGGCTTTGCTTTCAAGACATGATTTACAGCTGCATACAGCAATAAAAAGGCAATGCTCACAAAAAGTTACTTTGTTTACCTTAAAAATGAAACCTTATTTCACACACTTCCTACTTTATTAGTGGTCTTAAAGAAATGACAGTTATAGGTTGTAATTCATTCTGCTAAATACCATCCACCATTTCAGAAAAGTACACAGGCATATGCTTAACATTAAAGACATAAAAAGACCAGTGGACTCAACTTCGTTAAAATGCTTGAAACGAAGTATATGCTTGCTTATCTTGCTCTTAGTGAAGGTTTAAGTGCTTAAAATGTCATTATTTAATCTCAGAATATAAAAGTAAGCTCCAAGATTAATAGTTACTTGGAAGTTTCAAGTCTCAAAACATATAATTTGCATTTTTAGTAATGCCTTCCATAAACTCCAGCAGAATGAACTGACTAAAGTTTCTCACAACATGTTACAAAGAGCCTTGCATTCTATTTTTCAGAAGAAAATAGTAAAATGCACTTTTAAGATCGCTAGAGTTGTAATATATGACACATAAAGCTTTAATTAAAATTTAATTTAAAATAAAAGCAATTAGACAGGGCTCTTCAGCTTTAACTTTCCACCATTTAAAAAAAAAAAAAGAAATTGACATAAAGAAGATGGAATAGAGAATGCACCCTAAAAATGTTGGCAACTGAAATTCATCTTCTTTGACATCTATAACCATGCTTTGATGTAGGCTAAATGAAGGAAAAACTCATTCTTCCTGTCACTGGGGGTAAATGGAAGAACATAAAATATTTTCTTCGTGATCCTGGGCTGGTGAGTTCAAACTGAGTAAAAGTTTTGTTGTCACTTGAGTTCTGATTTTAGCACAAAATTCCAGGAAGTTCTTTTCTTCATTCAATTATTCCAGGATTTTTTATGTGCACAATCAATTTTAGTTCTATGGTTCAATGGACTGTAATTTCCAGTGGGGACTTCAGTGGTAAAAAATAAAAATGAAAAAAAACGTTTGTGAAGGCAGAGAAGATGTCTACACAAGCAATTGCATGTCAATCTGATTGCAGAAAAGAACTTAGAAGTCTATTTTTTAATTCTTTTGGGAGAAACTAGAGATCACAGAAGGTCAATTAAGAGTGTTAATTAAGATAAAACCGAGGAAATATAGTACTTCAAAAAGCTATTAATTAACAGAGCTTGCCAAAAGCATTAGATAGACACTTTTCCTTTTTGACTTAATTTCAAAATATTGCAGTAAAGCAAAATTCAACAGTGACAGATTGAAATGACAAAATTCTCCAGGCCAATTAATTGACAAAAAATATATCCTTTCATAAAGGCTGTTTATAGAATCTAATCCTCAGATGACTCTCCCACCAAACTACTGAATCAGCAGCAGCTTTATTTGCAGCAGCTTGTCAGGCCTCTTGATTAATAAATAAGTATAAATAAGAGTATTGGTCTAAATAAAAGACCTATAATACACAGAGTAGAGGCTTTATAATGTGAGAGGCCCGTCCAACAAAAGGGCTTGTAAAAATGATTCAAACTAAACAGAAATATTTTCAAAAATATGTCAGAATTAGCTTAGGCAATGTTCAGGTAGAATTGTCTCTGGTACTTCTTTGTATCTGTGGTGCATCAAGAGACCATTAATCCTCTGGGAGGGGTCAGGGTACTCTGGTTTTGCCTGGCACTCTGTCAGCTGCCCTGCGTCAGCCTCCTCTGTGACAGGTCCTTGGGAAGGAGGGTAGAAGGTACAAGTCCCCTCTGCACTCCCTTGTTACAGACAATCACCTCTTTTTCTCCCTGG